TGTAGGCGAAATGAATCAGGATGGAGTGAGGGGTAAACCTTTGCATCTCCTCAGTATTTGTCACTGAAATAAAAACAAGAGGGACAGTTGCAAGTAGCATCCTGCCAGAAATATGAGAATTCCAAGGTATGATATCCAGTTACTTGGAAACTGGACTGCCAGGGAAACAGCCTACTATAGAAGCAAGGTTCATGAGATCGGACTCATTACTTGGGATATCATGTCTCATCCTAGGTACACATCAGGGGAATTTTAAGAGAACACAGAAACCACTCAATAAGTTGGTGAGGTGATGGTTTTAGAAGTTTTGCGCGTTGTCCAAAATGAAGACTCCACGAAACCTCAGTACTCAATTTTCTTCTAAATCCCATCTTGACTCTGCCATCCACTTCTCTCTTGCCTCTATCTCTAAATTTCCTGAAAGAACATCTTCAATCTGCAGCAGTTTCTCTCCTGTCTTCCCCTCCCTGAGCCCGTGGGCAGGCATTTTCTCTTGGAAACGTTCTCTCAGTAGAGGCAGAGGTCCTGCTGTGGTGATACGGGCACTACTGCACAATGCTGGAGGCCAACCTACAGTTTATTTGCTGCTTCTGGTACTGTATCAACCTTAAGATCTTAAAAGGGAAATAGTGTAAAGTATGTAAACCATACTTTATGCTGGGATACTAACTGGCAATATAACCAAACCCAGAACCTTTATGTGAAGTATCGGTAAGAGCACTGGACTCAGTACAGAAGACCTCACTTATTAGCTACAATAAGTCTTCTGCCTCTCCAAAACCACACTTTTTTCATTTTTAAAATGAAGAGGTTCTGTCTAAATAACCTCTAATATCCCTTTTCCTACTAAAACAAAACCAAAAACCTATGATTTTTACTCATCCATACATCCATTTGACTCAATCTTCCTTCTTCTTTGTAAAAGCCAATTAAAGGAACTGTCAGCTGCTCAACTCAGCATGATGAGGGTGCTATCCACCGCTCCCAGAATGGCAGCAGCCAACCACGTGTATGTGGAAGGTGTTGTAGGGTGAAATTCCATAAATAAAGACTCTGAATTACCATAAACCATAAATGGGCTACAATTACTAGGTTTTCTTTCTTCTTTTAGAGAGATTTTTGCTATAGGGCACGTGCGCTCGTGGACAGAGAGACAGAAAGCATAAAATTACCCCCTAGGGGGGATTGCCAAGCCCCAATCCCTTCTCCTCCATTCTCCTCTTCGGATCTTGGGCACACAAACACAGGTGCCTAGCAGGAGCTTTAAGTCACTGGGTCTGGGACTAAAACCATGGTTTACTACATGGAAGTCCAGCAACATAACCATTATACCATCTGCTAATCCCTAGGTTTTATTTTTTTCTAATGGCTAAAGACAGAGAGTAATGAGTTGCATACCCAGAACCAAGGAACACTGATTTGGAGTTTAAGATCAGAATATCATGTCCTATTTGAGAATGCTAACTATATTATATGATTATATGACTATTTTTATAGTCATATATAACCTGCTAGGACTTCTTCTATAGTGGTAAATAAAAGAAGAGCTTTTGTACCCACTCTTAGGGGAAAAGTGTATTCAGTCTTATGAGGAATATGATGGTAGCTGTAATTTGCCATCAATGCCCTATAACAGATTGAGGAAATTCCCTTTTATTCCTAATTGCTGAGAATTTATATCATGATTGAATTTTGTGAAATGCCTTTCCTGAATCTACTGAAATGATCTTACAGGGTTTTATTGGTAATATATAAAAATGTTGAATTATATTTATTGGTTTTCTAATGCTCAAACAACATTGCATTTCTATTATAAACCCCATTTAGGTTTGATACATCTGATATTCTAGTATTTTGTTAAGTCTATGATCATAGAAATACTAGTCTAGTTTGCTTCTGGTAATAATTTTGATTTTAGTATTGGAGCAATTCTTGTTTAATAAAATTTATTGTGAAATACTCCTTTCTCATCTGTTTTCTGAAAGAGTTAGAGTAAATATGATTTCTTTTAGTATTATTTCTTCCTTAAAGTACAGTAGAATTCACTAGTGGAGCCACCTAAGCCTGGAGCTTTCATTCTACAAAGTTTTAAATTATAAATTTATTTCTTTTTGTTTTGGAGAGGTCTTTGCTATAGACAAAACCAGAAAGACAGAGAGGAACAGAGAGACAGAAAGCGAGAAGTCACCTCCCAGGGGGGATGGCCACGCTGCAATCCCTTCTCTTCCATACTCCTCTTAGGATCCTGGACATGCACACACACGTGCCCGGCATGAGTTTAAGTTGCCGGGTCCGGGACTTGAAGCACAATCGACTACATAGGAGTCCAGCAACGTAGCCATTATGCCATCTGCTGGTCCCATAAATTTATTTCTAAATTAAATATTCCCTAGACAAATGATCACTATATTTCAGACTGCGACTGCTTAATTTTGAAATTCACAAAATTTGAAATCCAAAGAGTGTTAATATATCCATGAAGGCCGCAGACTACCCATAATTATAGAAAATAACCTAGCATGTTCATTTATATCCTAAATTTAATGTTTGCAAGGGCTTGTGAGTGAGATAATATGTGCATGTGCTGGAAAGATTTTTTTTCCTTATGTGTCTGGTGCCTGTAAAACTGGTCTTAAACATCTGGAAAGACTGGGTTTACAAAATAAAGATGGAATAAAACTGAGTCCACAATTAAATAACATGTACAGCAATTGGGTAATCAGTTCACAAACTTGAATTTCCCTGATGTATTGTTGAACAAACTGCCTAGAGCACATTTTCACTTCTACTTTCTCAATGTTTTCCATAACTGAGAAACTCATATGGTCTCTTTTTTTTCCCTCTGCCTCCTGGGGATAGAAACTTGGCAACTGTACTTGGGGTATTTTAATCAGGTAAGTTTTCCTGGCTCTTCCTGCTAATCACATCAGACAGGGCAGTGCAGCTCTGGATTGCAATATGAAACAGAGTGTTACATTCAAGATAAAGTTCATGACCCTTTATTAGGCCTTTTCCATGTCATCTCTCCACTGAATGTGAACTTCTTTGGCAAGAAACGTGCTCTGAGCCCCAGAGCTAGCAAATAGAGACACATCATTTCCTTCACTAATAAAGCAGGCAGGGCTAAGGTCACCGCCATCATCATTCAGGGTACAAACAGCTCTGACTGGATTTATTCATCAGGGAGAAGGCAAGAAGGGACGTTCTCCCAAACCTAGCAGACTTAACCAGATCTTTAATGCCACGGACTTTTGAGACAGCATCTGGAGTTTAATATCAAACAGCTGGCTTGGGAATTAGACTATTTCAGGTTTTACTCTATCTGTGCAAGTGCCTATAGAGAAGACAGGAGTTTTAAAAAATCAGCTTCCCTCTTTACCATTGCTCCCTGTCATGGATATTACATGACCACTCTTTAGTAGTCTTCTTACTTTCTAATTTCAAAACTTAAAAACAAATGACAGATAATGGACCAAATACTAACTTAAAAATGGACTTGAACCGAAATTCTAATAAGCAGCCAGTACCCAACACAATCATTAAAAGATGACCTGTAGGGTAATACAGAGACTGAAAACTCTGAAAGCTCACTGCAAAGATGAGAACTATCTTTTCTTTAATCTATCAGTTTTTTTTTCCGTTTCCTTTCTTGCCTCCCTCTTTTTGCCACACAAAGGGATATTACCAAGAGGGTATACACAATAAAATTAAAAAAAAAAAAACAACCAAGTTTGTACTTTTTGCATGAGAGACCACCTAAAAACTCTAACAGGAGTATTTTGGAAGTATTTCATAGTTGTAGGAAGGAAAAGAAAGAGCCAGTAGACACAGGTTCAAATCCTGGTTCTACCACCTTAAATTCTGTAATGTCAATCAAGTTACTTAAACTCTTTCAACCTTAGTTTTCTCATTGGTAAAAAACTGTGGGCTATAATAACAATGAAAAAGAATTACTGCAAGGGTTAAATAACATATGTAAAATTATAAGCAAAGAAGCTCTGCTGTATTAGAAGTTCATGTACTATCCTTATCTTGTTTGACAGGCTCTAACACCTAGTTGTAAATTTCAGAATGCTAACCATTCCCCTGTGGATCTTCATGGTAAAAGACGTTTATCTCAGGACACTGTCCCTGTACACGCCTTTACAAAAAGAAAGATACTACACATATTTACATTTTAGGTTAAGGGAAGAAGTGAGTAATGTAGAATTTCTTATGTGCATATGGATAAAGAGGCCTTTTTTGAGAATGAGACATGCGATTATTTCCTTTTCCCCAATCCCCTAGTTTTAAATTTGTTTTGTTTTGTTTTTAAATCTTTCATTATTCATGATTTACAGGCTGCAGTTCAATAAGGTAAGAATTTAATATGAACGAACTACAAACTCTAGAGATCTGCATATTTCTTTTACTGCATAAAATATAATCAGAATAACTCTATATGTTGCCTTACTGTCATTCAAAAACAAAGAAAAAACGAGGCCCGGGATTTTATTAGGGTTCTGTGTTTTTCTTTACAGAAATGTGTCATGACTTTCCTGACAACCCAATATAAAAATCAATAATATAGCTACTTTGAAAATAAAAGTGCAGACTTTCCAAAAGTTAAGCAAGGAGCTTATTTCCTGTGCTTAACAGTGTTATTTAAGAAATCTTTGCCTACCCCCATGTCTTCAAGTCCTTCCCCTCTGTTTTCCACAAGCAGTTTCCAAGACTGAACCAGCCAGTACAATAGAGGAAGAATACTGACAAGTGGAAGCAATCAAAAGAATAGCTTCTTCATGACCAACACCAAATAAGCTACATTCGGGGGGCCTCTCAACAGCTACATTCTCAGACAACGGCCAGCCTCTCTACCAGCCATAACCCCGAGTTCAATGGCCCATATACCATACCTTTTTCCTCTGTCACATGCCAAAGTAACTTCTCAAGTTCCGGAAGTTTCAGCAATAAGATGCAATTTGGAAATGCGTCATCCACCACAACTTGATCTAGGGGCTGAAACTTTCCCTGGGACAAAAAAAAAAAAAAGCACAACACAGAAAAAACCTCTTTTTTTAGTCAGTCAGAAAGCAGGCAGTCCTGCCAACAAACTCACATACAAAAAGCAGAGAAAAAGATACATAACTGTATGGTTTGGCCTTTAGATCTGGTTCAGAGTGACTGGTTCCATGTCAGGCAACTCTAAACTGGAACAGGTCCCAGAACTGACCCTCACCACCATTAGGAAGCTCCTGTGAGAATGAGGTTCCAAGTGCACATCCTCTACCTCAGGGTCACAGTCACCAGATGCTACCGGAGAACAACGTTCTAGAAAATGCACTGGAAGCCACAAAAACTGGTAAGAGGGTAGACACTGCCTAGGGCTGGTCCAACCCATCCAACCTGAAGAAGCAGCAGTTGAGATCACAGAACATCAGCCTGGACCATCACATAGGAGCAAACCCAAATGGGCCCAGAATGTGCATTTCCCTCCCTGTCCTCCCTCCAGAGCTGAAGAAAGAAACACCTGCCACACACACACAAAAGAGAACCCAAAATGAATCTATTCCTGTCAGTATTGTTTGAGAATGTTCCAAATTTAGACCAGAACAAAAGAAAAGATGCTTAGAGGGGTAGGTCCAATGAAGCTGCAGAAAGGCTAAACCAGGCTCAGCTACTGTTTCGGTGACAACTTCTTTTAGTGACAGAAAAGCTGATCAGTTTTCTTTCGACAAATGTCATTCTCTTTGGTTTTAAGGATAACAGCTTCTCATACTTTCTGTTAACACATGTCAAGAAAAATATCAATTTAAATATTCTTTTTTGAATAGTAAGAATAAGTCAGAGATTTCCCAAGATTTCTATCTTAAATCTATATCCCTCTATGATCAATCAGTATTTTAAATATTTAACTACTATGAAACAAAACTTATCTATATTGAACTACCACACAGTCATGATATAATATCATATTAACTAGTGTTCCATTCTTTTTTTTTTTTCTTTTCCTTTTTTTTTTTTTTTTTGCTATAGGGCATGTGTGCTCGCCAGAAAGACAGAGACAGAGAGATAGAAAGCGAGAAATCACCCCCCCAGAGGGGATGGCCACGCCGCAATCCCTTCTCCTCCATTCTCCTCTCGGGATCTTGGGCACACACACACACACGCCTGGTGTGAGTTTTAAGCCACCAGGTCCGGGACATGAACTGTGGTCGACTATATGGGAGTCCAGCGACATAGCCATTATGCTAACTGCTGGTCCCACTAGTGTTTCATTTTTGTATAAAAAGAAAATGCAGTAACCAACTAGCTCTGAAGATAAAGTTAGTGATAGCTGGAATAGCTAGAAAGAAAAAGATTTTCTAAAGTTTCTTTGGTGAGAGAGAGAGAGAGCACATCTCCATGCCACTGTCTACCTCCAGTCTCAGATGGTCAGGTGCAAGTCCAACATGCTCAGGGAGGTCCTGAGATGCAAACCCAGGACCCTTCCTATGTGAGTGGGTCCAGTTGCATTATTGCTGCACCATCACCTAATCCCTACAAGAGTTATTTTTACTGATGCTAAAATAAATCTTGTGATTAAAGAACAGGTCGGGCCAGTCAGTGGCATGGTAGTTAAGGCAGCTGGATTCTACATGGCTGACTACACTGTTTGAATCCTGGACCTGGTGGCTTGAAAAATGCATCAGGCACATGTGCATGCATGCCCAAAATCCTAGAAAGGAGGGAGAAATGAAGGAAAAAGGATTGCACATGACTATCCCCCAAGGGAGTTTGCTTTCTCACTTTGTCTCTCTCTCATGCCAGTAGAGTGTGTGACTTCTAGCAAATTAAGGGAAATAAAAAAAAAGAACAAGTCAAATTTCAAAAAACATATAACATTTTCTTTTTTAACAAAGTAGAAATGAACATATGTAAAGGGGAAGGAACTAGCTAGATGTCTCGTGCATTACTTTAGTGGGCATTTCTGGCACCTGAGAAGAGAAAGTACAACGTTTTCAAATGAAAGTCAACTACCCCCATGAGCAGCATTTCTACTACTTTCTGCATCTGCCATTTTGAAGTCAACCACAGTACCTTGGAGGATCTCAGAGGACCAGGGGAAGTTAACCCACAGGAGTTATGGTCCTAATGGGGGTGGAGAAATATTACCAAAAAGGGGTAGAAGTAGAGAGGGGGATATATACATCATGTATTGAGACTTGTGGGTGGCTCTATTGTTATTAATTTATTCTAGAAAACACCACATATGTAAGCCAACTGGAGTTTTCAACTTCCTTTCCAAGTACTCCCATGGCTTCCTGGTGGTGACTGGAACCATTCCTGTTCCTTAAGGACATGTGGCTCACTGGTCTCACTGCTCATGTGCCTTATTACATTGGGCATTAAGGTAGCTTCCTGATAAGGGGAAATGTGACTAAACTAAAGAATACAACTTCACTTACCCACAACCCAGGCCAGGGGATAGGAAATGAGGAGAATAAAAGAAAAAGAAGCTAAGCTAAACAAGAGAAAGCATAACTTAAAGTTTTAAGTCAGTTTCATTCTGTCCAATATAGCAATTAAAATTGATTTACCTACAAAATGGAAGTCATAGGAATTTGTTCTAAGGACTAAATATGACAAACCCATAAGCATTTAAATTATACGTAAACATGAGAATCCAAAAGGCCAGATTCTTCTAAGCTATTTAAGAAACACTTACTTATTACAATTGTTTATTCAAAAGTTTTCAAACTGTGGTTAATAAATCTCTGGGGAGAAGTCCCCAAAATCCTTTCAGAGGATCCCTAAGCTCCAAACTATTTTCATAATAATACTAAATATTATTTGCATTTCCACCACGTTGACATTTGCACTAATGATTCAAACCCAAAGGGGGGTAAAACTGGTTGTTCCTCACACGGATGTCAAGGTGATGACACCTAAGTGTCCTAGTTGCCATTGTATTTATTACTGTGTTCTTGATGGTTTAAAAAATATACCAGTTTCACGTAAGAATAAAAGCAATTAATTGTAAATTTTAATAGTAAAAGCAATTAATTGTACTTAAATTCTAACCCTCAAGTGCAAGTCTTGTAAACATCTGTGTATGAAAGTGAAGTACGACCAAAGCATTTTTGCCTTATTCTAAGGACAAGGACCTCCAGGAAAAGCACTTGAGTGGACTATCTGAGTGGCAAGCAGAATAGCCACTTTCTCATGTATCATTTTTACTTGAAAAATTCACTATGAATGGCTGTTATTCAGACTTAGGTACTGGGCAGAACATGAATGAAGTAAGTCTGTTATGTTAAGGGGAAGATTGACAATACAAGTAGCCGATGATAAAATTTGACCTTTTGGGGCCAGCAGGTGATATAGTGGTTAAGATGCTGGACTCCTACATGGCTGACCATGGTTAGAGTCCTGGACATGGCAGCTTGAAGCTCAAGTGAGACGCATATGTGCATACCCAAAATTCTGAGGAGAATGGAGTAGAAAGGACTGCAGCATGGCCATTCCCCCTGGGGGCTTATTTCTCATTTACTCTTTCTCTGTCTCTCTCTGTATCTTCAGTGAATACACATGTCCTATAGCAAAAATATCTCTCTAAAAAAAAATTTTGAACTTTCAAGAAAAAATTATAATTACAGAAAATCCATATCTGTTACTATGACAGCTTACCAATATGTGGAGTGTTCTGATGAAATCAGTAATTTTTTTTTTTTTTTGGAGAGATTTTCACTGTAGGGCGCGTGCGCTCGCCAGACAGACCGAGACATAGAGACAGAAAGCGAGAAATCACCCCCCAGAGGGGATGATCACACAGCAATCCCTTCTCCTCCATTCTCCTCTCGGGATCTTGGGCACGCACGCACACGCGCCCGGCGTGAGTTTTAAGCCACCGGGTCCGGGACACGAACTGCGGTCGACTACGTGGGAGTCCAGCGACATAGCCATTACGCTAACTGCTGGTTCCCGAAATCAGTAATATTAACAAAAATGTGTGTGCATTCTGTGTATAAAATGGAATATGTGGAGACCAGCAGTTGGTGTAATGGCTATGTCACTGGACTCCCACGTAGTCGACCGCAGTTCAAGTCCTAGACCCAGTGGCTTAAACTCACGCTGGGTGCGTGTGTGTGCATTCTCAAGATCCCGAGAGGAGAATGGAGGAGAAAGGATTGTGTCATGGCCATCCTCCCTGGGGGGGTGGGGAGGGGTGAGTTGAGTTCTCACTTTCTGTTCCTCTATCTCGCTCTGTCTTTCAGGCAAGTGCATATGCCCTATAGCAAAAACCTTTCCAAAAAAAATAGGAATGTGTGAATATTTTGGAAGATTTGCACAACTCAGTGAAACAATGTCTCCCAAAGGACCACTGCCTGATATTAAAAATCTTACATGGGTAAAAAGATCCATTCTAAGTGCAAGTTAGACTAATGAATTTTAATAGAACAGAACATGGAAAACTCATCAACAAGGTTTCAGATTTTACGTTATGACTAATTTATAAGCAATCATCCTTTTAAAATGGGGCCAGTGGATGGTGTGGTGGTTGAAGTGCTTGATCCCACATGGCCAACTGCGTGGTTTGAGTCCCAGAGCTGGTGACTTGAAAAACACACCGGGTACATGTGCATGTGTGCCCAAAATCCCAAGAGGAAAATGGAGGAAAAGGGATTACAGTGTGAATACCCCCCCCCCGGGGGAGGTGATTTCTCTTCTCCACCCTCCTCTTTCCAGAGAGTGTATACAACCTATGGCAAAAATCTTAAAAAATGGGCCAGCAGGTGGCATGATGGTTGGGGTGCTAGATTCCCACATAGCAGTTCAAGTCTCAGGCCCAGTGACTTAAAAATCATAACAAATAAATGGATAAATAAATAAGTGTTAAAAACAAACTGAAGAAAAACAAAACTATCCCTTTTTGATTTTTAAAGTAGTATCAAAGAATAATACTCCAAATTATCTGAGAAGGCTATTATACTATTCCTCCCGTTTCTGAGTACATATGTGTGTGAGGTCATGTATCTTCATATACTTCTAGCAAAATAATAAGTGGGAACAGACTGACAGCAGTATCAAATATAGGAATCCAGTTGTTGTTTATTAAGTCAGATATTAAAGAGACTCGCAAAAATGTAAAACAATTCCATATGCCTCATTAAGTTTTATTGTTCATTAAAAACATGTTATTTATGTGAACATGTAATGGTGTTAGTATGTTTATCTTTAAATACATAAAATTATTTTTAACTTTCTCAGTTTTCATCTCTAACATAGTAAATATTGATAATTAGAACCCAGAAAAACCTAAGCTCTTTGGAATCCTCAATAACATTAAGTGTAAAGGTATCTAGAGGTCAAAATGTTTCTCTGGCTGATATTATCAGTAAATATTTATCTATATTACAAAGGTAGATTTTATCCATCTGGGATTCCTTAAGTCTCAACTATAGCCTCCACATTAATGAGCTTTTACTAGACATGCCCCCAGCTTAACTGTTTCAGTCTCTCAAAAAGAAGTCTCATGAAAGATAAATCTTTTTTCTTCTCCTAAGGCCTGAACTCAATTTTTTAACATTCATTTTGTATTTCCAATCTAAAAAGTACTTATTAACAAAAGTTTTCATTGCTAGGCTTTGTCAGCCAGTAAAGAGTATGGCATAGAGTTGGGCGATTCGGAGGTCACCAGTAAGCTGGTGGCAAACTGATGCAGGTGTGTCAGTGTTCTGACCTGCAGACGCTAGCACATACAGTATGTGCTTGCTATAATAATCAAATTAAACCCAAAGTGTGGGGAAATCTACATTTAAATCACTAAATGGAGAAAGAGAAGATCAAGCCAAAACAGTTCATTCTGTGTCCTCACTGTCAGTGTCCCAGACTGAGAAACTCACCTCTTTACCAGCCTTTATGAGGTAGTGGAGGAGCAGAAATAGGGGGTCCATGGGTGTGGCAAAATGGAGAAGACCTCCTACAGGGAAAACAAAACAAAACACAACCAGAGGGAATTAACTGTCTTGGAAAAGACGACTTGGTTATTTATTTTAATCTCAACATGAAAATCATTTGTTGAAAAAGTATATGTGGAAGCCCAAATCAGAGACCCTTCCTCCACTGGCCCAAGATTCTGCATGATTCTCTCAAAAGGTAGACGGTGCTCCAATGAGACTGTACTCCAGAGAGCTTCAAATCCCTGTGTGGAGAGAAGAGCCAAGACACTGAACTTGATCTTTAACTTTCCATTTCTTTTTTAGAAGTCACTTTTAAGAGATTCTCCAGCTGCCCTCCCCTGCACCTCTCCTCCCCCCAAAAAAGGCAGAGATGGGAGGAAGCACAGATGGAATGTGAACCAGGCACACATTGGGAAAGCTGTATAAATAAGTTTACTTCTAAAGCTGCAGTAAAATGTAATTTCCTGCACTTTTAAGGATGAAGCCATGGAAAGCAATATCATTCTCTCTGTACACAGCTCCTCCTGTGGTCTGGGGCTCACAGCTCTAAGAGTGCCAATGACTCAAAGTTCTTAAGGCCACTCGCCACAAGGACTCCACTTTAACTCCCACCCGAAGAAAAAGGCAAGAGTAATCTAATAACATTGAGTGAGCACAAGCAAACAGAAAACTCCGCAGCAAGATTAATGGTGCCACCAGACTGAAAGGAAAACAGGGAAATCAAACAAACGTCGTCCACCTGCTCCCACTTTCCTTTCCTCTATTGGACTCCCCTCTAAGCATCCCACATTTCTCCTCCCACAGAAGTGAACCAGAAGAGGTAGTTTCATCAAATGAAACAATAAAGAATTAATTTACCTCCTCCCAAGCTTATTTTGATCTTAGAAAATACACATGCTTACTTTTATTCTCTATCAAAGCAATGCATCTGTATGACGAAGAAATTCTAACCCTAAATTTTATATACATATACATATACATATATATACACACACACATACTATATACACACAGAGACACATGTGTGTATGTATATATGTACATCTACATACATGCACATATATAAATTTATATAAATGTATATGTGTGTACATATATCCATTTCACAGAAGCAAATACAATTTAAAACAGTAATTTCAGAGTCAGTTGGTGGTGGTAAAGACAACTGGATCCCATATGACTGATTGTGTGGTTCAAGTCCCTCACCTGGAGGCTTGAAAAACACACAGGGCACATGTGCATGTGTGCCCCAAATCCTAAAAGGATGGAAATGGAGGAGAAGGACTGCGGCATGATAATACCCTACTGGAGGGGGTTCTCTCCTTCTCCATCTTTCTAGGTAGCACATGTGCCCTCTGGCAAAGACGAAACAAACAAACAAACAAACAAAAAAACCCATGCAGTTTGTGTGTTTGCCCACCCCAAATCCTGATGGGATAAAGAAACACAAGAAAAGGGATTGCAGTGTGATCATGCCCCACTGGGGGTGCTTTCTCACTCTTTTTCTCTCTCTCTCTAGTGGGCTCACATGCCCTCTGACAATAATAAAAAAGAAAAAAGACGATGGAAAAAAGCAGGTACCTTTTCTATGACACTATAACTGCTCTGAAAAATAAAATCTAGTTAAAAAAAAAAAAAAAGCAGAGATCAACTCAGATAGTTATGGACAGATGATCAATCACTACCTACCAATATTTTCTAGTTTTAATCTGGACATCACTGAACCTATCAAGCCAAACCCAACTGCAAGTGTTTTACAATGGAAGTTGTAATGTGCATGTATTGCCCAATGAACAAGCATAGCAGCAAGAGTCAAAGGGAATATCTGCTTTCTACCTCCCAGGCTATAGAGACTACCATTGCTTTTTGGTAACTGAACACTATGTCAAATCTTCTCAGGCACATAGGTATATAGAATTTATCACAAGCAATAAACTGTTCTTTTTGGAATGTCTTAGAGGCAAGCAAAGAGGCCATTCTACCTAAGCACTAAGTGTGGACCTGTGGAACTATAGAAAGCACTGGCTTAGGGAGAAATATCAATAGAAAGCATTCTCTGGAAACAATGAAGCAGAGGGAATGCGGAATGCCTCAACTACCTGCTGACTGCCCTCACCACACTACACCCCAAAACACAGGGCTCTGGGTATCCTTTATCCCTGAGTCAGCACTGTCCCCAAGTTAAGGGAACACTAAAAGAACCAAAACACTGGTGGTGAGTGTATGTGTGTGTTGGAGGGGGCAATTTTTTATATGATAAAGCACTGAGACACAAAAACAAAACCTTGGCTATGTTCTAGTCTATTTTAGAAGTTATATCAATATCCAGTTTTAAGGAAAGTAGATGTTAAAAACTTGAAGAGCCTCAAAGAAAGAGTTTCCAGTCAACACAACGTTGTACCCAGTGGTACAAAGGTCATCTGACTTGTGACTAAGGATGTGCCAGTGTTTTAGGAGACAAATCAGAGTTATTAATTTAAATTAATAACTAATCCTACCATCTAAGATACACAGGTAATGGCCCAAACATACTGCCCAAAAATTCCCTTTCTTTTCGACTCAATTAACCCTACTCTAGTGCCTGCCCTAGGGAGAGCAAACCAGTGACTGGACTCTGAGCCAGGTGAACAGGCCATAAGCTGTGCGAAGAACAAGAAAGCTGGAGTATGAGTGCAGTTAAAGGAAATACATACACTTGTCACCTACCTGATTGAACTGATTGATTTATAAACCAAGAATGGTGTTTTTCCTTGAAAACTTTTATTTCAAACAGCTGCTGCAGACACATGTTGAACAAGTACAAGGCTCCTTCCCCTGTTAAGACAAATCTGCTTTTTATTTGTAAGTTTTCTCTCTCTTTCTCACACATACATCAAAAGACTATCCAATAGTTCTGAGGAATGTTTCTAATATGAACATAAACATACATAGATGTATTCTGTACAAACTGATTCCAAGGAAAGCCTAGAGCTATTATATACAGACGCTTGTTTTTCAGCTCTATAATCCTCACTGAACTTAAACTAAAAATTAAAAAGTGCAAGTCATTTATCTTGACTGCAACAAAGTCTCTCACTGAACCCTCCATCAGATCAGGAGAGAACACACTGGTAAACTACCATCCCCTAATGCTTCAGCCAGATGATTCAAGTCAGCATGTGGATGCCCATCCACACAGAGGGAATTAACAGGGACCAAGCCTAGGACCCCACAGGCCATTCCTAGGTGAAAAAGGCAAGAACACGCTTCAAGCCATAGTGAGAGAGGAAAGCCCCACTTAATCAGATGATTTTTCCTTTCTTTCTAAAACGAAAAGTATGTGTGTGCGTGGAGGGTGAGGGGGGTGGCAGAAGAGAATGAAACCTATTCACATCTGTATGTTCTATCCCTTCAACTCATGACATTTTTTCTAACCATAGCACAATGGTGGGAGTCAAGAACACTGAATTTGAGTCTATTTCCACTACATACTGGCCATCTGACCATGGGAGGTTAATAAACCTTTCTGTGCCTCTGTTTCCACGTCTAAAAAATGGGGACAATACCAAACCTACCTCACAGGGTTTTTATAATGGGAAAAAAAATACATGCTAATTTTTAAAACGGTACTTGGCACACAGTTAGTGTTCAGCAGTGCTAGCCTTTATTCTGTCAATGTAGCAAATAAAAATGTTTGCTCCTTTACTGTCTAAGAATATTTACATGAAGCTGAATTTTTTTAAAAAGGCTGCTCTCTTTTATACCAGTATTTTTGTTAAATGCTTTAGAACCCTTACTATTACCTAAAACTTCTTTGGAAGAGATATTTTGCACCTCAACTTAGAGGTACAAATTAAGAGTACCAAATAATAGAGCTGACCAATTATATTTGATTTCACTTTGAGGGAAAGAACACTGGAGGAAGTCGGAAATTGTTTTCCTTTCTCCTTGCTTCTATTTATATGTCTCTCCCAATAAGACACCACCCTCTGATTTTCTCTTACTTTTAAATCTCAGTATTGCAGTCATCAGGAGAAAGTTCTAATTTGCCAAGTATCAGATATCTACTCGAAACCTTACAATTAATGGAAAAACAATGCTACACAGAGATAAATAGTATATACGCATTAATATTTCAAAAAAATTACCAGACAAAACTGAAAATGCACCGAATATACAGTCAAAACTGTTTTCCAATAAAACATAAATTTCTCCAATATATAATGCTTTAAATATAAAAAAGTCATTCCATGACAGGAAAAAAAAACTGTACTACTTTTTGATCAGAACACAATAAGGAGAGTACTGCTGAAAATGAAACTAATCAAAATCTTGGCATGTCAAAGAAAAGCCTTTTCTCTTTTTTTAAATTCTAGTTGTTTATTTTACTTTATAACATAAAATGAATATACATGGAGGTTAATGTTGTATAACTCTAAGTTGACTTAAGAAACCCAGAGAAAATTAATATGTTTTCAGAGAGAACTCAAAACATACTACTTTTTTGTTTTGCCAGCATTTCTGATGACTGAACAGTTCTGAGGATTAATATTGTAAGAAAAGTTTTAAATGCTTAGATCAAATGAATTATCTGGGAAGACCAGAAATGTCAACAGTTTGTTTCTGTCACTTCATGATGCCACCTTACTTTCAAAAGTTATTCAGAAAGATACAAAGAAGAATAAAATATTGGGTTGTCAGAAAAGTCATGATGCATTTTTGCATAGAAAGAAACACAGAAAAATATGGCATGACTTTTCCAATGACCTAATATATACTTAGCCACAATGTGTAAGAACTTTCAAGGTACAGAGAAGAGAGGGAACTTACCTGAACATGGGTTTGCCAATTTTATAAACATAAGCCCATTTTTCATCTTCTTTGAAGCATCTTTTAAAGATTCTGAAAAGAAATGGTGTATTTATTTATTTGTTTGCTAAGGGGCACTGTAATTGTCAGAGAGAGACAGAGAGAAGAAAAGGAGAAAGCACTCCTCAAAGAGGTGTAATCATGTCTCAATCCCTTTTCCTCCATTTCTCGATCCTGTTGGTATTTTGGGCCCATATGCCCACATGCCCAGAAAGTTTTTCAATCCACTGGGGTCAGGATTCAAACTATGTGGTCGACTATGTGGGATCCAGTTCTCTTAACCACCAGGCCACCAGTCTAGCCTGTAATGATGAATTTGTGAAATTAGAAGTCATTTGCTTTGTTGTTCACTTTATCTACTAATATTTTACTCTGTTTTCCTTCTACTTATATGATTTTTCTTTCTAAGTTTAACTCAATAAATCACTTATAAGCTATGTGAATGAGAGCAAGTTACCAATTTCTGTATAAACTCAGTAGAATTTCAGGTAGTTTCATTTTATTTTTTTGGAGCAGTAGTGAGGAGCAAGGGTCTAGAGTTAGATGAACTGGGCTGTAATCTTGTCTTAACCATTTGATAGCTCTGTCACCCTGAGCAAGAGTGTTAATCTCCTGGTCTCAGTTTTCATCTATGAAATGATGATAATAGTATATGCTTGCTTTGTAAGGATAAAATGACCTAATCTGTTGAAAGCATTTAACATAATCAGAAAAAAGGAAATGTAAAATAAATAATATAATTATTAATCATATTACTTTTACTGCTACTATTATTAGCAGAACTATTATTAGTAGAACATTTAAAAAATAAACACTCACTGGGCATTTGTTTATACAAATTTTTATCCCTAACTGTGATTACCAAATCATGCCCTTTGCCTTGTTTCTAGTGGGATATTCTTTTTTTATTATTATTATTACTATTTTATGAGTAGTTTTTTGGTTTTGTTTATTTATTTATTTTTTTTAGTTTTGTTTGTTTCGTTTTGTTTTTGCTAAAGGATTCATGCACTCACCAGAGAGATTGAGAGAAATCACCCTGCAATGAGCCATGGTTACACCATAATTCCCTTCTCTTTCACTTCTCCATCCCATCAGGATTTTAAGCACACACACACACTGGCACACCCGGCATGTTTTTCATGCCACTGGGGTCAGGATTCAAACCATGGTTGGCCATGTGGGATCTATCTCCCTTAACTGTTGAGCTATGGGGCTGAATCATGAGGAGTTTTTATGCATAGTTAAGAATATCAAGTCTGCTTTTAACTCTGTTTATAATAATTTCTTTTGCCATATAGAAGATTCAAAATCTAGTGTAATCATATTTTTTGTTATAGTGTCATACTTTCTCTTCTTCAAGATTGTATAAATTGGTTATATTTTCTTCTAAAGACAAGATTACAGCCCAGGTCATCTAACTCTAGACCCTTGCTCCTTCTAAAATTACATCTTGAACCTATCTGGAAAATATCTTGATATAAGATATGGGGAATAAATCTAGCTTAATTTTTTTTTTTTTGCAGTGAGTTGGACAGTTGTACTAACACCATCTACTGAATAAATCATCACTGAAATAACTTTATAATAAATAATTTAAAATGATGAATTTGTCTATAGATGTTCTATCCTGATACACTAATCTATGTCATATTAGCATTTATACCTCAATATTATAATTACTATAGATTTGATTTTCATATTTAGCAAGATAAGTCCCTTCATTATGTTTCCTCTGCAATCATGTAGATTAAAATATAAAATCAAAACAATTTTATTGATAATATCCTCCATGTATTTTCCGTGGCAGATTTACAGAACTCTTTTAATCTTGTGAAAAGAAACAAAGATCCTCTGATCACAGCAGTGTGGCCACCAAAAGAGCAAAACAGAAAGGTTTAAAGAAGGAAAGGAGCTTTCACTTTCTTTTATCTTCTATGGGTTCCCACAGAAGCCAAATTTACCTTTTATGGCTCCCATAAAAGCTAAATCTATTTTAGATTTTCATGAACTTTAATACAGTAGAATATGTTTTCTTAAACTAATAATGACTTTTCATGCATAAAGGGAAAAAAACCTAATTTTCAGATTTTCACTTTCAACCAAGATAGAGTAACTGGAATTCAATTTACCCTCTAACCTGAAACAACCCAAACCCCAACCAAAACACCAGGGGAAACATATGAAATAGTTATCTGAAAACACTGGACACCAAGCCATGCATGATGGTGATCCTTGAAAGATGGGAAACAAACCTGGTGAGCCCCATAATTGCCCTAGGGTTTCCAGACTATGGCTCAGAAAGGGGGAATCTAGGTGAAGCCTGTTACACTCTTT